TCATGTACGTTCTATAAAGCTAACCTTGTACACATAATCTTGTACTGACGTGTTTTTTCTCCAAAAAAGACGTTCTCTTTCAGTTAACCCCCAGTTAGCTCTTCGCGTTCATGGTATTTGTGAGAGTTGAAAGATTTTTTGAACACATGACAAGTAACTATATTGATTTGCGTCAAGCTGGGTGGCTCGAATTTAAATATCAGTGCGTGAACTCAAACGCGTGGTTATTAGAGTTCAGTCGAAATGTACGTGAATATTGCGATCGAAGTGCGCTGTCCAGAGTTTATTATATTATAGTAAAATTTAACTTGACGCATGGTATGGTTTATATTACATGTTCACTTCATTTCGAATAAAAAAATCACCATTGGAACATTGGTGAATCACAAGTATTTAAAATATTTTCTCGACTTTCCGTAGATACCCGACTACTATCATTTTTAATGATGTAAATGCGCCAATGTTTATGTTTGCGTAATTATTACGAATGCAACGCATTATCAAGTCGGTAATATTGAAATATTCACAGACCCAATACCCCGGGTCAGCATCCTAACAATAATAAAAATTAACTTGAGTTTGCGTAATTATCATGAAAGCAATACATTTAATACAAAGTTGAAATATTCAGAGCTGGTACAATATTGTAAACAAATTTGCGTAATTAGAAAAGCAGTGCACTAAGTAAACGACGTTGATATATTCAAAGCCAGTACAGAGTTGCATACAAGTTGCGTAATTACAGTACCGTCGGATATAATAAAAATTTTACTAGATCGACGCGCGGACCGCAAAAGAAAAAGGTTGCTAAGATAACGCGCCAGTTCAGCGCGTGACTTGGGGTCAAACTTCGGTCAACACACACTTGATGCCAGTTTCGCAAAGAAGTACTTCAAGTTCAATTGCGTCCCAAAATTATGTCGCTAATCACTCGGTTGTCGCATCGTGTGTTGTGTCATGTCCATGATGCACCCCGTTTCGACTTTGACTTGCTTTTCCTTCTTAGTGCATGTTCTTGTTCACGTAAAATTCGACCTCTCACCAATGTATTAAAACACTTTGAATTTATACTTTGCATGATTATATTTGGTCAACGCGAAACATTATTTTTTCTAGACCATTTCTATCAACGCAGGGTTATTTTTTTAGACAAGATGGGCCTCGTAATATCTGCCAAAAGATCTTTTGGTCCACATTTTTCTAAAAAAAAATTCGAATCCTCCATAAGATCGCCCAGGGCGGGGTATCAGCCGAATCCGGTAGTAGTCCTAGTGCAAACATTTTTGGTATAAACTTGCTGCTATTTTTTTACTATGTCATGGAGAGTATGAGAATAGGATTTACCTATATATATTACCACCTCCACAAATATGTGTGAAAGTTGATTCAAATCTTTATTTTCATTTTTACTAATTATGTCCAGTTCTTTATTTTGAGACTTTCTGGCTACTGGCTTATTCCTATCCTGATGGTGGATGATATAGTCATGTTGTGTTCTCTTGTATATTTCAGGTGGAAAGCTTCATTGATTCTGACACTGGAAGTAATCTTATGTTACCAGTTCAACATGCAATCGGAGTTGGTAAGTTTTCCAGCTATGCTACGCTGTCAGTAGTAAATGAAAATATTTTTTAAAATGTACAAAAATGAATTAGTGAAATAATAATTATATGGAAAATGTTTGCTATTTTTTTATTTTCGTTTTCTATCAAGTAATAAGTTTACTAAAACTAAAAAAAAAAAATCTAGAGAAGCCTTGGTTATGAAAGAAACCAATCATTTGCAAAAATAAACTTACATCTACACCTTTTGTTAATGCCATACTAATGTTTCTATTTACAGGTAACAATGTTGAGTTTGTAAACCGAGGTGCCCTGTTATTCCGCTCTTTAAAGAGTGTGTCAGGAACATTTCAACAACTATCATCTTTATCAGTAGACTTCAGAGAGCAGTTAAGGGTGAGTGATGGTCCTAGTGCGTATGTTTATAAAAAATTATATGGTATCAATATTTAATAATCGATAATCATTTATGGATTTAAGGATTTCCAATCGATTGAAGATTATGTCATTTCCCTCTTACTTTCATTATTATTGGTTCATGCTATTAGGGTACAGAGAATTTTTGCCAAACAATTTTTCAAGGTCCCTAAATATCATGGAAAATGGCGAAATTTTACTTGATGTCATGGGTGTGAAACAATTAAGCCATGTAACGTTATTAGTATCAATCCTAATTTTCTTGATTATCAATGTACTTAAGATACATATTTGTCACTACTCATCCAAAAGCTCACCCATGGGTGACATTTTTGGGACATCTATTAATTCATGAGTCATAGAAAGAATCATTCTAGTGCAGAATTTAGTAGCAGAAATCTGCTGTAAGTATTCTAATTATAGAGTCGTTTTTAAAAATGTTTTGGTCTTTCCTGGCACCTAAATTAGAGTATAATTTAGTTAGTCGCTGATGCTTATTCAAGAATACAATGTAAAATCTTGACTAACAACTCTATTTAACAATGAGTTGTGAAGTGTCAATGTCAAGTGTTTAATACTTCTTCAATAATCAGTTCATCTCCCTAAAATCTTAAATTTACTTTTCAAAAACTCGTGTCATTTTTCATCAAAATCATTGTAAAAGGTTGCACTCCAACACTTGTAAATCACTTGTGCTGTGTTCGCCATTTTAGGTGCTATACGGAAATCCCAAAATATGTGAGGCAGGCACCAAAAATGTCTGTGCCTATTAAGTGGCTAATTTGCATATTAATTATCTCATTTGAGCCGGTGTTTTGCAAAATCTCAAAAACTTAAATTCCGGTAATACCTTAGCATAATTTACTAATTAGCTTGATTAACATAGTTTTGGGGTGTGTTTATGCATATTAAGTAGCTAATTTACATTTTGTCTCTTGCAGCATGTATACATTGTAAGCAAAAACTTCAAAATGGATTATGATTAAATTTGCTATATATTGATACTGAACATCATGCTGGCCGATAATCCTAACCTCTGATGCCATTGCTCTTTTACTGACAGTTGGGAATTTTCATTTGCCTAAATATTTTTTTTTTTATAAAACAATGATAGCATATATTCTGTATTCACACATGAGCTTTGCAGCGTTTAACATTGATTGTTGTTCAATTTTCAGGAATCTTCACTGAATAAGAACACACTGTATCGTATTCGAGTACCAACAAAACTAGGAGCATCATTTGATGATAGTAATGTAAAATATGTGTCAACTTTTATCAAAGCGGTAAGTACATGTGAGGTTTATTTAGCTTGACCTGTACGCATAAATTATGTTGATTGTGGCAGGTTTTATTCAAGCTCCAGGTATTCAAAGTTATTTATTCTTCATAGCCTTAGGTATTCCTGAAAGTTCCTGATTTCTGATAACTCTTGGTATCCCAGATTGTTGCTGATTATTGATAGCTCTAGGTATTCCAGGCTGTTTCTGATTATTGATAGTCCTGGGTATCCCAGTTTGTTGCTGATTCCTGATCGCTCCAGGTATTCCAGTTAGTTCCTGATTCCTGATAGCTCCAGGTATCCCAGTTAGTTCCTGATTCCTGATAGCTCCAGGTATCCCAAGTATCCCAGGTTGTTGCTGATTCCTGATAGCTCCAGGTATTCCAGGTAGTTCCTGATTCCCAATAGTCCTGGGTATCCCAGTTTGTTGCTGATTCCTGATAGCTCCAGGTATCCCAGTTAGTTCCTGATTCCTGATAGCTCCAGGTATTCCAGTTAGTTCCTGATTCCTGATAGCCCCAGGTATTCCTGTTAGTTTCTGATTCCTGATAGCTATAGGTATCCCAGGTTGTTTCTGATTCCTGATAGCTCAAGGTATCCCAGTTAGTTCCTGATTCCTGATAGCTCTGGGTATCCCAGTTAGTTCCTGATTTCTGATAGCTCTGGGTATCCAAGGCAGTTCCTGATTCCTGATAGTCCTGGGTATCCTAGGTATTTCCTGATTTCCGATAGCTCTGGGTATTCCAGGCTGTTTCTGATTCCTGATAGTCCTGGGTATCTCAGTTTGTTGCTGATTCCTGATAGCTCCATGTATTCCAGTTAGTTCCTCATTCCTGATAGCTCCAGGTATCCCAGTTAGTTCCTGATTCCTAATAGCTCCAGGTATCCCAAGTATCCCAGGTTGTTGCTGATTCCTGATAGCTCCAGGTATCCCAGGTAGTTCCTGATTCCCAATAGTCCTGGGTATCCCAGTTTGTTGCTGATTCCTGATAGCTCCAGGTATCCCAGTTAGTTCCTGATTCCTGATAGCTCCAGGTATTCCAGTTAGTTCCTGATTCCTGATAGCTATAGGTATCCCAGTTAGTTCCTGATTCCTGATAGCTCTGGGTATCCCAGTTAGTTCCTGATTCCTGATAGCTCCAGGTATCCCAGGTAGTTCCTGATTCCTGATAGCTCTGGGTATCCAAGTTAGTTCCTGATTCCTGATAGCTCTGGGTATCCCAGTGAGTTCCTGATTCCTGATAGCTTCAGGTATCCCAGTTAGTTCCTGATTCCTGATAGCTCTGGGTATCCCAGTTAGTTCCTGATTCCTGATAGCTCTGGGTATCCCAGGTAGTTCCTGATTCCAGATAGCTCCAGGTATCCCAGTTAGTTCCTGATTCCTGATAGCTCTGGGTATCCCAGTTAGTTCCTGATTCCTGATAGCTCTGGGTATCCCAGGTAGTTCCTGGTTTCAGATAGCTCCAGGTATCCCAGTTAGTTCCTGATTCCTGATAGCTCTGGGTATCCCAGTGAGTTCCTGATTTCTGATAGCTCTGAGTATCCCAGGTAGTTCCTGATTTCTGATACCTCTGGGTATCCCAGGTAGTTCCTGATTCCTGATACATCTGTAGCTCTTTTTTCTTTTTCTACAGTGTTCATTATATGAATCAAAACTGAATGATTTAATCACAGTGACCATTGATCAGAAAGGTGATATCTTGGGAGTCAGTATTGTACCCTTGGTGGGAGACTGTAAAGGTCATGACATTGATGAAGTCGATCTAACACATTTCAACACCAGCGTGGAGTTAGCAACTATTATTACTGGACCTGTGTAAGTCAAGTATTTTATTCATAGAAAAACAAATTTGAAAATAAAAATTGTCCTACAATGTGTGAGATTTGGGTATTGTAACATTATGAGTTCTTATAATTGGACCTCTTTGTGTGCATAGATTTGCATCCTGTATCTTGATATGGCCTTGACCAATTATGTTCAATCTTCACACATACATCATGATATACATTTGTTTTGTGGTTTCAATCAAAGATTGCTGAAGAACGGTTATTTTGGCACAACAAAAATCAAGCATTTTTGACATTTCAGAACTAGATTTCAGCCATTTATGAACAGATTTTCTTAGTATGGTACCTTGATGCATGGAATTTTGTTTCACAGATTGTACTTAAATAATGATCATAACCCTGGGGTCTCAACATGTAAAATAAGGGAAAATTGGAAAAGATGAATATTTTTTTGGGTTTAACATTGTAACCATATTACATGTATCTGCATGAAAAATTATTCAAATAACATTTTTCATTCACATGTGCCAGATTAGGGGTAATATTATGTTTTTTTGTCATCGATTTACAATATGCACATTTTAATACAATATTATTTACATACCATCTGAATTTATGGTGGAAAAAATATTATGTTTTTGAGCACCATTTGCCCTGAAACATTGTTCTCTGACCTGATAGGTAAAATTTGTCATTAACCAATTAGAATGCTGTGTTGTACTGCTGAAATTCTCCGGAAATATTTTTAACGCAATGCAGAAGTGAATTACCGCAATGCTGAAATATGATCTGTTGCTACTGATCTCATCAAAAAATGGCAAAATTGTTTCCAAAAACTGGTAATTCGCAATTTTTGTGTGTATTCAGCATTTTTCACAGCCATCAACAGATCACGTCAAAACATAGTTTCCCCATTCACACTCCTTTCGCGATAGTCTCACTGGTTACTTCAATTATTTGAATAGTAAAATGATGTCCAATGGCCAGTTTTCATGATATTTTTGGCATTTCAGATGCTACCTTTTCCCAATCAGTCAAAGAGGCATGTATTACTGTAGTATTGCAATATTGGGAAAGTGCTAGTACCATGCATTTTTCACCGTGTACTGTAAGTGGAATTTTTATGTGAAAGCACAAACCAAATGACCCTTTTCAAGTGCCACCATACACTAAAAAAAAAGGACAACTACCATACCAATCAAAATTTTCATGCAATGAAACATACTTTTTACACACATATTTTAATGAACAAACAATATCTTATCTTTATTTTTTTAAGATTAAACCAATTATCAACACCTAGTAAAAACACCCTGTGCTTTTCCTTAATAAATGTCTACAAATAAGGGGCTGGCTTATACCCAGGGAGGAGCTTATGACAGGGGAAATATGGTAACATTTGTTTCAGGACTGACTGACTGTAATACAGTTTATCAACGAGGACTTTCTCATGTACTGGTAATACCATACCTTGTTTACTCTTTCACAATGGAGACTGTCCTGTTAATGCCCTATTTGGTTATCAACAACAATATTTATGTACTGGTAACCTTATTGGACCTTATTTTAGTAAAGTTGACCTTAACAATATATCCATGTTTCTTGACCTACGATGTTCTGCTTCAAGTTTTTGAAGTAAAATTGTTGAAATTTAGTTTTTCTTTCTTTTCTATAGTCCTGAAACACAAGCATATATACAGAAACTAGAAGAAGAAAAGGCACAGAGAGAAGGAAAGGGAAACTCAACTGAACAAAAATCATTCTTTGGAAAATATGTAAGTGATGTTTATAGCTGTTGATACTGAAGCATTATTTTTACTACCGGTTTCTGTATTAAAACTAACCCCACACTGGCATGATGTTCCTGTCTTAGCCAAGGTGCAAGGTCAGATTTAGATGTTATGTATGTAGAGCTATGTAGTTATGTGTAATATGAAGCCAGTTAACAAGATAAATACAATGTACAGTTAACTGTAGCGATATGAATACAACCATGGCAATTTACAATCTGCATAAATACAATGAGACATATGTGAATTTACAGGAATAATCACACAGCTAGAACATTGAGTCACATGACTAAGTGTGGCAATATTACCATTACTGCACGATAATTATTACTGTATTTTAGTCTTCTATTACATTGATAAAAACATAAGAGAATGGCTCACTGCCACCAGATGGCGCTGTGACCAAATGCAACTACTGGTACTTGCTTGAGTGAATTTTTTTTTATTTTCTCATTTCAGTGGATGTACATTGTACCAATAGTGTTATTTTTAATGTTATCTGGAGCACAGGATCCAAATGCACAAAGAGGCGGTGGTGGCAGTTCATAGCCAGCATGGATGCGATTATATTGCAGTAAACCTGTCCTGTTTGTAAAGCATTGAACATCATCTCAGAGTGGGCTTGGGAATTTTCTATTAAAACCATTGTACAGCACCTAGTTGTAAATTTAAATCAGTGCAATTGAGGGCATCAATCAATTGGTCAGTCTGAGCATGGACCTACGAACCCAAGGATGAACAGCAGACATTAAAAGATGGTTAAAATCTTTTTGTTTTTGCTAATCACTCTTTTGTCCTATATGTTTGAAATATATGATTGAGGCCACCAAAAAGTTAAAGCTTCTACTCCCACAGAAGTATAATTAGTTTGATCATGGAGGTATTAACAGTTTATACTTCCATGGTTTGATTCAGCGAAAGATGCTGTGCACACTGCCGATCTTATTGACTTTCTAGTTGTTAAATGTTTGTGTTTTTCATGGTATAAACGGCTGTGCTTTACATTGCTTGTTTTTTCACAGTGAATCTATGCATATTTCAATTTTTCACTTTGCGAATTTTATCAGTCATCCATGACACACACTGTGTTTGTCATCGTCATTTGCGTCTTATTGTTTTCAATCTCAATGATATATGTTGTCAGGACATTTCACTATTACACATAGATATTGCACCTTTGCACATAGATTTTGCACTTTTGTACATGTATATTGCACCTTTACACATAGATATTGCACTTTTACACAAGGATATTGCACCTTTACACATAGATATGGCACTTTTACACAAGGATATTGCACCTTTACACATGAATATTGCACCTTTACACATTAATATTGCACCTTTACACATGAATATTGCATCTTTACACATGAATATTGCATCTTTACACATGAATATTGCATCTTTACACATGAATTTTGCACCTTTACACATAGATATTGCATCTTTACACATAGATATTGCATCTTTACTACACATAGATATTGCATCTTTACACATAGGTATTGCATCTTTACACATAGATATTGCATCTTTACACATAGATATTGCATCTTTACACATGAATATTGCATCTTTACACATGAATATTGCACCTTTACACATAGATATTGCACCTTTACACATAGATATTGCACCTTTACACATATATATTGCATCTTTACACATGAATATTGCACCTTTACACATAGATATTGCACCTTTACACATGAATATTGCACCTTTACACATGATATTGCACCTTTACACATGAATATTGCATCTTTACACATGGATATTGCACCTTTACACATGAATATTGCATCTTTATACATGGATATTTTAGTGTTCAGAAGCAAATAGTAAGTGTCAACACAAATAATGTTATTCAATCATATATGTGTAATATGTACAAAGTAAATATCACAAGCGCTCATTGTAACAAAGAATGAAAGAAAGCTGTTCATCCTGGGGTTTGTAGGTCTGAGCATCCTTCGTGAAACCTTTTTTTACAAGAGTTTTATGCATATTTATTCTGTCTATGATCAGATCAGTTGATAGACAAGTCCATGAAGGAATAGAAGCTATATTCAAAATCCAAAAACAAGGACTTATAATTTGGGTACTGTCAGTGTAAATATTACAGGTGATTCAACAGTTCTTTAAATGATAACATTGATCCAAAAATTACTGCTCTACTATATTGGTTTGTAGAAATGAGTACAAGTTGTGACATGTTAGTCAAAATAAAACATCGTGCCCACACATGCTCCATGCATTCAATTATTATAGGTGAACATACATATTATGGCTTAATAGTTTAGCTATAATTTCTGACTAAACAGAAGTTTTCCATCAAAACTTGTGCTAAGGTGTACATATACTTCACCCTGTATTGCAGGTACTGTGTTTACTCCATTAGAAGTGCATTCAACAATAGACCAATTTCTGCGTTATGCGAAATCTATGTAAACAAGCCATGCATGGCACAGTTCCCGTTAGTTATCAAATTTAAGATATATAGTTTTATTTATAGTAATATAGCTGGAATATAACCATGTCAGGAATATGATTTTTTAACATTAAAATTATTGACATTTGTATCTGATCGTCAAAAAAGTACGTGTTCATATTGAGAGATATTGCTCTGGAACAGCATTCAAAATCAGCTATTTTGAATACATGTTTATATATGATATGATGTATAATGAATATTTAAAATTTGAATATAACCAGTCAAAACAAGTCAAAACATTAAAACAAAATGGCCACCAGACAGCCATTTTGAATCCAATCTGAAAAATAAATGATGTGCACCAGGAACCTGTAATGATTAATATATGTTCCAAGTTTGAACGAAATCCATCCATACATGCTTGATATTTGATGATTTTTTAGCACAAAAATGGCCACCATTTGGCCATTTTGAATATGACATGATGTATTTAAAATTCGAACATAATCAGTGAAAGCAAGTCAGAGATATGGCACGAGAACCACATTCATTAAAACAAAATGGCCACCAGTCGGCCATTTTTAATCTTATCTGGAAAACAAAATTATTTGCATCAAGGTCCCATAATGTCTAATGTATATACCAAGTTTGAACAAAATCCATCTGTAAACAGCCGAGAAATGCTTGATTTTGAGGATTTTTTAGCACAAAAATGACCGCCATTCGGCCATCTTGATTCAGATCGTAAAACAAAATGCTGTGCATTAAGGTCCTACAATGTCTGATGTATATACCAAGTTTGAACAATATCCATCTGTAAACAGCCGAGAAATGCTTGATTTTGATGATTTTTAGCACAAACATGGCCGCCATTCGGCCATCTTGAATCAGATTGTAAAACAAAATGATGTGCATCAAGGTCCTACAATTTCTAATGTATATACCAAGTTTGAACAAAATCCATCTGTAAACAGCCAAGAAATGCTTGATTTTGATGATTTTTAGCACAAAAATGGCCACCATTCGGCCATCTTAATTCAGATCGTGAAACAAATTGACGTGCATATGTATGATATCATGTATGATGTATGTGTGAAGTTTGATTGTGATTGGTCCAGGCATTTCTAAGATACAGGTCCGGACGCACGCACAGACGCACACATGCACGCACGGAGGTCAAAACATGAGTCCCCGTTTTCGGACTGCGTCCAAACGGGGACTAAAAACAGGGCAAACAAAGGTCATAACATCATAGTGGCGTCAAAACATTGCAAAGGATTTGAAGATAAAACAATAAAGTAGTAATGATACATAAATTTAACAGTCAATTTTGATGAAGTACCAGTAAGAATATTTCAATGCCACATTCCCCTCTGAAAGATAGTCATTTTGGTTTATAAAAAAAGAGAAAGTGAAGTTCAATCAAGTCGTCCAAATTTTTGAGGCAGACATTCGTTGTATACTGGATCATGAAATGTGACCATACTGAGCTTGGTCATTTATTACGTCTTGTCAGTGTTTTCATGAAATACTTGCGTCTACACAGTAAATAGTCACAAACCAAACTTATTGTTCAATGTTATCATTCAAGGAACCATGTAATTTGTTTTTAAATTAAAATTTGGCACATCATGGTAACTGTTTTGACATGGTCAGGTCTATTTTGAAAAAGTCTTTGTATGATTATTGTGTATGTTCTATGCAAAGTGCACATGTATTGCATCATTTCTATTTTTTGTTCAAAATTGGATATCAGGTTTTCAGATTGAGACATGATTATTTCACAATGAACTGTATTGTGTTTTTGTGCTCTTTAGTAAATAGATGGGTTTGCTAGAGTTACAATCTAGTAAAATTTTATACTGTGTAACATACAATTACAGATTTCCTTCTGCAATAAACTAAACAACTTTGACAAATATGCGAGTATATTTAATTTTTTTTATTTCATTTAAAATAAAATCCCATGTGACCACATGCATTTGCGGAGTTTTCTTGGTTAAACGCAAAAGTAAAACAATTCATGATATGTTTACATTGGCAGACGGTAAAAGTGTTTAAAATTAGTTGAAGTCAACACTACAGTTTTTTTAGTTCATGTCTGTATTGATTAATTACATCTAGGTTGTAAATACTTTAATATTGAAGCCTGATATGTAGGGTTACGCACATCACTGCAAATGTGCAAAACTTCCCAATTTGAAAGACAAAATTATTATTCAAAGGGTTAAAATCAACACAGCTGAATATGTAAATTTAGAATGAGTTGAAAGATATTTCACATGCACAGGCAGTTAAAAATGTTCAGAATAAATAGAAAAGTTGAAAAAATGTTAGTGCTACAGCACACGTTTGATGTTTGGATCATGTACACAAATTGTGCATATGTTGCTAGGTGTCCCATATCAGAACTGTTCATCGTCAAAAGAAAAAGAATTTACTCACATACATTAAGTTCACAATTTCAATTTAAAGTGAAAAGAAGGTTGCATATAAAGGTAAAATTATACATTACAGTTTTCCTAACTTGTAACTACATGTATATCATATTTTCATCAGACTACAGTCCAAGGTTTTTCTCAACTAGTTAAACTCAAATTCTCAATTTTTCTTGTGACCAGACAAAAAATAAAAATGTGACCTACTGAATGATAAAATCAAAATTGTAGCACAGTTGTATTCAGCATACGGTAGGCTTTAATGCTGTTGGTTGAAAACATAAATGTTACACCCCCCCTGAATAAGTGAATAATAACCTCTAAATCCTTGTACCAAGTTTATTTATACCTGCTCTACTGTCCTATTTTACATACAACTGTGGTGGACAAGTTGTCACCCTAATGTGGTAACTTTGATTCAATAGATCTTTCCCTTGTGATGCACTTATGTGACATCAAAATGATACACCGGTAGATAAATGTATGTTCTATGTCCTTCAAATAGGTAACCCTGATTGGTTGTTTAGTTGAACATTTAGAATTGGTAAATTCTCTCAAATTTTTTTTTATTGACGGACGGATCAAAATGATGATGTAACAGCTTATTTTTTTACCCATTTTACTTTACCACAATTGCCTCATATCTAGTGGCTAGTTGTATTCAGATTAATACTTTACTACATTGCAACGTCAGCTGAAAATCAATATAATACAGTGTATTTTCAAAATAAAAAAACAAGATAAGTTAAAAATGTTAATGCACCTTTGGTGATGGAATATTGTACATTGTTGTATCATTTCACTATATAAATACGACTTGCATAAATGATGCGTAGCGTGCGTTTGAATTTCATGTGTTGTACATGTCGCTATGAGTCCCATACCGAACATGACGCAGAGCAATGACCACCGTCCTTAAGAGTTTTCTATATACTAATAACTGATATGTACATTTCCCATATTGTCAATAAATCATAAACACTTATAAAATAAGTGTTATCCTTAATGATAAAGTAATACTGATAATATAACTCATAAATGCATTCAATGCGAGAATGATAACACTAAAATAAAAATGCTTACTTTAAAAATACTCCTCGCATACCCAGAATAAAATCAAAAGAGCCAAAACATTTATTTGATATTTTAGAGAGATATATTAATTTGCACGTTTACTGGTTTAAAAATTATTAAAATGACTTAACATCTCCACAGTTCAGTATATGATGGTTCAGTTATACCGGGTAATGTCACTAAAACAAGTGTGTTTGTACTCTAGTTTAAAACACATCGGTTCTACTTTTACAATGATACTTTGTTAAAAAATTCAATGCTTGCGGCAATGACAGGCACTTTAATTACAAAACACAGCTTGCTTTATAGACAGGAGACTGACTTATACGACTGTGTACCATATTCTGCCATCTTGTTTTTACAGGAAAACATCATATACTGAGAGTGGAGAATTTTAAAAAGTAAAATTTTCTATTCTGACTGATATTGATAAAATAATAGCCTCCATTCATTTCTGTATCATGAATCTAGTCATTTTTGCCTATGGAATGGTACATACAGCAGGCTGCACACAGTCCACAGATCTAGAAAAAAACAAAAAAAAACATACTAAACATGTTAATTACAACACACAAGTCATGGCAGTGAGTTAAAGCCAAATCAACAGTGCATACTAAAATTTGATTGACAGTTATATTACAGATAGTAGAAATCATTCATTTCAATCCCCACCAGCTGGTGATGAAAGACAATGGTAAACATGTCATGTAATCAACCTTTTATGCATCAATAATATAGATAAGCTACCATTAGTTTACCCAAATGTTCAGCAATACTTTAAGTCGCTTTAAATTTACATGAGACAAAGTTTCATGAACTTCGCGAGTAAGGAAAACAATGTATTCATAAAAATGTTTTGAAATCATTAAGACTCTGATTCAGTGACTTTCACAAATTTCTTCCTCATGTCATAATTATTAAATTGTAAAAGCAGACTTATATTCATTATAACTTTGTACTTACAATGATGACACAAAGTCCAATAAGCACAGCTCCAACAATAGTGATATTATCAGTTATGAGCGTACTTACAGTGTTGTAACATCCCTGAAATTGAAAATCAATCAAATATTATTAATGATACGGATTAGAAATAGATGTTTCAATATTAATGTTTTGGTGTATACTGTTATTCAGGATAATACTGGAAAATGATGTCACAGTTTATTCAGAAAGTTACAAAAAGATTCTGTAAAAATGAATTAATGCCAACCGAATTCTCTTGCCAAAAAATTGATTCACATTTGAAGTAGTTTTCTATAATTTATTTTGTCAATATGAACCAAATAAACAGTTTCCCATCTTAGACCAAAATATTTTGAATGCTTTTTCTCAAATTTGCGGGTTGTTTGTTGAAAATGTTTTATAAGGGGTTAAAGGTCAGTGGTCATCCCACAGCATGCATTTAAATTTGTAAACAGATTATTAAAGCATCTTATAAAGTTGTATACATTGCATACATGTGATCAAGAATGAAAACAGTTTTGCTTCACATTATTGCCCACGTCAGTTGAAAACCTGTGTATCTTGTTGTAGTACTGAATAATCTTAATACAAAAAAAAAAATATTGGGAGAGTAAAACTTGTATATGCAAACTGTGTGAATGCAGTATTTCCTGGTTTTTAGTTTCGCTATTTTTTCGCTGATAAGTTAAATTCTAAAATTACAATGTAAATAAAACCCAATTATTCCCTGCCAAGTTTGTGAACTTAAAACCCAGTGAAATTGCTCAAAGCATCAAAATTAATAGTGAAATTAAAGGTTGGTGAAAATCAATGGTTTCAGAGTAGTTGGTTCAAAATAATGATACTGTTATATTCAGGGATTGTTGAACTCACATTAGTATTCATATAATCATGCCAGTCTTGTGAGTTTTCATCATAACATTTGGCTTCATTTTTGACACTACTTCCTTCATATTTGCAGCAAGTTCCTGGCCATTTCTGAGATGGAGAGGTTGTCGTCTTATACCATTCTGATGTCTCATAGTCAGTGTAGTATGAAGTGCCACAGCAGGAAAACTATTTAAAAAATATTTAAAAAAAATTATTACCATGATGTTTCATTGAGGGTGATCTAGAAACTGATGAGAAATGTTATCTACATGGCTCATTAAGTTTTAAATAAATAGTTAGATTATATCAACTCTATACTCAGCTGTTAGTTAAAGTAACTGCCACATTTAATTATTTAAACACACAATATGTATGCATAATTTTCCCTGAATTGACTATACAAGCAGAATATTAGATATACAATGCCACTTGTAAGATTTGGACCACTAAGCTAAATTATGAGAGTAGGTGACTGAATTACGTTCTTATACTTGCAGTACTTTAGACATATGCAGCTAATGTCAATTATAAGGTCTAGAGTAGACGGCTGATTAGCCACCAGTTGGCATATAAGGGAATACTAGGTAATGTTTTCTGTGATATTGCTGTCTTAGTAAGTCATCAAATCTGCCATTTTGTTCATTTTAGATCATAGCTAGTCATATTATAGTCACTAAAATACAGTATCTAAGCTTACCATAATGATAAATAATTTTAAAGCAGAAATAGCTGTAACTATTGATCTTTTTCCTCCGATTTTTATTTCTAATAAAACATTTCCTGTGTCATTAGTGCCAATTTGTAATGACTATGTCCAAAATGTGAACACTGAAAACATAGCATATGCATATTGATGATTAAATCACTTGCAAGTGAAAAAAGATGGCGGTGGGGTTGAGTCCAGGTCTTCAGAGGCACCAGCTATTGAAATCCAGTTTTGTCATGTGAACCTCAGGAATAGTTGTACAAGATGACAACTTACACTGGGAGGCACTGGGAGAAATGTTAAATATGTCGTTATATACCATAGTTTTGTAAGACTTACTGTTAACTGTAAGGTATCCCAGGTTTCTGTGAATGCATCTTTGACTCCATAACTTTCCTGTAGAGTTGTGTTCATCTGAATTTCAAGGAAGGTTTCTAGTTCAGCTTGATATACTGCGATCACCACAGCGACAGCCAATAAAAAGAGGAACATAATGCCAACAACAATGAGATACTGAAACAAAAATAATCAATCTATAAGCATTTGCATACATACTTATTCAAAAAGAACTAAAGTTTTTGAATCACAGTTTCACACTGAAACAAAGAATAAATATATACTAAAATAAAACTTAATAAGCCAGTCAGAAATTTTTAATCAGAATTATACTGAAGTTGAACCTATGTGTAAAGTTTGATTTGAACTGGTTCCAGAATGACAAACACACTAGATTTTGAAATTTAAAGTACATGTACTAAAAAGGTTGCCATGTCAAATCAGATCACGAAAGTGCCTATGTCTCCTAACAGGTACAGATAAGTAAGTTTGAACATGACCAGTCCAGACATGTGGCTGCAGAACAGAATTCATTTTCAAAGGATACTTACAATTATTAGAAGACATTTGATTTGTTTCCATGCTCCACAGCAGCCGCAGAATCCAACGAGTGCAATAAATGCTCCCACAACAATTAAACCATAAGCAGAGTTTGTTATTGCTGCATTATCCAAGACACCAACTAGTGTTGATGAGTCTACTACAACCCATACACCAACTCCAACCAATGCTAAGCCAGCCAACTAAAATAAAATATGAAAAACAAATTTTATTAATTAATTTATTGTTTAGTGACATGTATAATTTGTTGTCACCAAGAGCTGCTTTACATTCGTACTAACACAATCTTGAATTGTAAAATGTTTCAATTAATCAATAGACAAGACTTTATATATTCATATACATGCAAGCATGCACAGAAAACATTATACATTTTTTGTTTTAGTACAGCAAACAGACTAAAATTTATTCTGTAGCAATACACAGTGCCTGTGAAATGCACATCAACATGTTTCCTGTTTTGAATTTGTGTACCACTTTAAAATACATAAAAACAAAATTATCATGAAAAACATTATTTCACTTAAAATATTTATTCTGATTTTGAGCCTGAAATTAACAGGCATTCACAGGCACTTTAATTACCCCCGAGTTATCAGAACACTCAAATATGATATGCATCAATGGTTTAATATAAAATAAAAATACTAAAAATAAACAATATTTGCAGGCATGCAGTTATCAGCAGCTGGAAATTCTATAGAAATGTGACCCATTAACAATTTATGCAGAAATGATTGAGTGTATAAATGACCTAGTAAACCAAGTATGACAAATGGTTTATATTAATTCCTACATTTTTCAAAACTACTCCAATAGCTTTTGCAAATAAAATACCCACACCTCAATTGTCCACCTGTTTCCAAACTATGGTAGTTGTATTCTTGAGTAAAATGTTCATAAAGTAAGCTCTTAATTCCTCTAATTGTCATACATGTTAGCAACATATGTTTTTGATTGAAGTTCATGATCACCATCAACACATGCCGGAATGGAATGGAAATATAATGCATTTTGACCATGAGTTCCGGATCTCACAATAGATCCCATTTTAAAGTTCATGACATCTAGAAATTAATATCTTTGTTCATATACTGAAAATGGCAAAACTCAGAACATAGCCAAATTCATCCAATTCTCATTTTGTTCATTTCTGTTCATGTCTTGAAATGTTAAAAACTGCCAATGCTATATATTAAAAATTATTATTAGTCTTTATGATCATATTTCTACAATACAAATCACAATATTCCCACTGCAAGTCCCCAACCCCTCTATGTCAGCTGAAATCAGGGGATAAAAGGGTAATGTATACAAATGAATAATTTAAGTTTAAAGTTTATTACCCATAAAACAATGTTTAGTAATCTAAATGTAATACAATTTTGTAAAAATTTAACAATAGTGGGTAACGGGAGTCTGAAATAGCTGGTAACAGCTAGTCAACCCCTTAAATGACATTGACATAAATATAATGAAACCATAATATATATTACATACTATATAAAATATCAATTATAAATCTGGTTAAATAAATAAAATTTAGATTTTATCAAAGTGAAGTGCTGCTCTGAGATTTTGGTCTTCAGGATACAGGGAGACTATTCCACAATTTAACACCAGAATGAGATACGAATTGATTGACTGATGTATTCATCCGTGGGACAATAAGGTCATCACGGTAACTCTGCCTTGTATTGCGTCTAAGATGTGAATAGCTTAGGTTAGGTTATAAGTTAACATAGTGTGTGGCAAGTTGCCATTTATGATACCGTGCATAAAGGTACAAAGTGAAAACGGCACTGTTTGAAAATGTTGACCACCTTAAGCTGCTTAAAAATAGGAGTGGGCGGTGCAGTAACATTAGAGGACGTTACAATCCTTACAATAAATTTAGCTGACAAGCTCCACATGTTATGCAAGTTAAGGCGCTTTTAGTTTGTGTGATATACACAACACACATTACAAAATAAATAGGGATATGTGATTGAAAGGCTGACTTATGAGAAGTAGAAAAACTGTAAAGGCGGTGTATTTGCATAAAGTAACCTTTGCGGTCAAATAGTCTACTAAATTCACTACAGTAAACAAAACAGGTTTGTAGACATAGCAACAGCTATACACCTATTTTTCTTGAATGTTTTTGACACTGGTTTTTAATGGGTTCAATTCTGTTAATCAAGGAAACATTCGAAACAAACACTGTCTTACTTGGAATATATTGAAGATTGCATGTTTGTTTGTTTATACTATAATCTTTAGAACTAGGATCCACTGGTGTCTCTCACATCTAACAAGTGGTGTGATATTAAACCAATTTATTTAACCCCCCCCCCCCCCCCCGGCACCTCAAAGCAAGTGCTTATATTAATTTAATTACAGCTACAATGCAGATTGCCATTACTTATATTGTTTAGACCAAAACGGTGAACATGCATTCAGATATGCACAAACAGCAGTGCCATTGAGTAAAGAACTAGGAAAATTGAGTGTTTGTTTTAGTACTCTTGTTTATGCAAACAATTTTTTGTTTATTTTAAGCGTTTCCGAATTCACAGAGGTAGGAGCAAGTTAATTTGGTAAACCGGTATTTTGTCAGTAAAGGATACACTATGACTCATTCATTATTTGTTTAATATGGAATTTTTATTGGGTCTATATTAGTACAGGCTGGCAGTAATATTCTGTTGGTGCAACTTTCCAATATTGTGAATGTTACATTATGCTAGGATCAAGTATACTAACATTTTTTCTTGAAGGTAAATACAAAGTCCAAGCTCACTTGCATGGAGGTTATTCACTGGGTTAAATTTTAGCAGATTTGAATCGCTTTGTTTTTAATTCAATGATTTGTAAAGGAATACAATACATTCTACAAGTTTATAAGAATTTGATGAATATAGTGGTTATATGGATTGAAGTAGTGATAATTAATAGCTTTGAAAAGTTATAATGTGTACCATATACCCTAGCAATTATAATTCTGTCAATTTATAACATATATCACATTATATTATTGCAGAGTGCTAAAGCTAAAGCATTTTTGTTAATATTTTGAAGTCACATAATTCATAGATGTATGATTTACAATTAACAATTTTATGATGTATAATTATAATACTTACCACAACTATTCCATTGAATATCATTAAAAACTGCTTTAATCCTTTGTCCTCTGACATGGTGGCAGTCTGTTGCTACAGCTGAATTTATTACAAATCTGTGTGCATGAAAACATAATTTATAATAAATGATTTATTGAAATACAACACAGATTTGGTATACATATTTAGGACGGATCACCTAAACTTGACTTTTAAATTTTTGTTTTCACAAAATTATTATAAATTATTATATTATGTATTTAAAAAAAAAAAATGAATCAGGTATTAAAAAACAAATTATGACATGACACAGTCTCTGTTGTTTTTTAATGAAAGTATACTTTTGAGTACATATCCATACATTGTAAGTCTTCTGATGTGTGCACGCAATCTCTCAAAATGTAATACATTTTAACAGCTTAAACCAAATCCATCAATGAATACCTGAAATATGGATCCACTGTCACACTTGTATTACAGACAGGATAAAAGCGAGTGTCAGTTTATGCTATTTGGAAACATATGAAAAATTATGACACAAATGCTCATGTATATAGCATGTCCGATGAAAATTACCACTAGTGATTTTGATGCATTTTTAGCCTTAAAATAGCTGCCAATGGGCTATCTGAAATCAGATCATGACATAAATGCCCATGCATATGTCTGTCCAAGTTTTAACAAAATCCATCTGTAAACAGCCAAGATCTGGTTCTGGAATATCAGAAATGCTTGATTTCAATACAAAAATGGCCGCCATCTGGCCATCTTGAATCAGATTGTGAAATAAATTGATGTGCACATGTACAATATTATGTATGATGTATGTGTGAAATTTGAACGTAATTGATCCAGGTATGTCTAAAATATAAGTCCTGACGTACACACACATGGATTCATGCAGAGATCAATCAACTAGTCCTAGTTTTCAAACTGTGTGCAAACGAGAACTAAAAATTGTCATCAGAAACATTGGAGTAATAATATATTTACATTTCTTTATTGCAACCCGTATAAATTCCTTTCACTATTTCCTTGACATTACTTTGTTCATGCAGTCATTTTTTAACGTTTGAAATATCTATTATTAAATGACCTACTTTAACTTTCGGTTTTGTTTCAGGCTGGTTAATGTTATTAAACCCATCCAAAAAATATTCTGTCACATGAGATACACAGTAATTAACCTTTTATTTAAGGCAAGCAATTTGCTTATGCAACATTTCGCAAAGGAGGCGAACAAAATCTTCTCAAAAAAAACTCTTGCTACAGTGTTTCTCGGTGAGCTAATTGTCACTCTTCAGTCATTTTTAAAAGACAAGGCCTAGTAGATACAGACCATATCCTACCCACATATAAAAGATACTGTTTTCCTCTTGCTTCTATTCTATTTTTGGATTCCTGACGTGCAATATGGTATATCAGTACCAGTATAATGTATGTAGCATAGAAATAGGCATGGCTCGATGTAGCAAACCAACATATGACTACAATAAGGTTATTTTAAAAGTTTTATTTGAATTAATTATTAAAAATAATAATAAATGTATAGTTTAGGCACAAATAATGAATAAAATAACAACATCACTGTTATAAATTCACTAGAAAATAAATGCAAGAACTTTATTCCCTAAAATTATGTATTTTGGGGAAATATAAATTGGTGGAATTACTATACAATATGAAAGATGTCATTTAGAGATTTAAAAAGGATTTAAAATATTTATTAAAAAATATTTGCAGGAAAATTTATAAGAATTTCAGTTTACTGGGATACTCCTGAATAGAATGGGGTTATTAAGGAATGAAATGTACAAGCAAGGTTTTAGGGTGTTGGGTTTTACTCAGGCTATCTATGAATAAATAACACACAATAAACAGAAACAAAATTCCAGTAAATATAAGGCCTTGAAATTTATTAAAAATTGTCAAAAGTAAATTGACATTGTATTTTTCAGATCAATCAAATTTTATTTCATCTGCTTGCTATAGTACTACTTTTAATAAATTCACTGACAAGGTTGAGATACTGTAAAAGGGTTAATTATTCAATGGGTTTTAATTTTGCTTATTTCGCTGACTGGAAAATGTGATAAATTAAAACCCAGTAAATATGTAAAATTTATTATAGAACACATTATCTAAATGATCAAACCGTGAATTTAAAACCCACTGAATATGCCTGAAATAGTAAATCAGCGAAATTTAAACCCAGTGAAAATTAATCATTTTACAGTATTTTAGATCTTAACACACATTAGATAATACAGTGCATCAAACATGTCTGAATCATCTAATAATGTTTTAAATTTATGACAAGAAAAATATATCAGTCCCTGGAATTATTTTGTAGGTTGCTTGGCAATGCTTAGCCACAACTAAAGTTTGGCAAGCTGAACAAAATACACTATTTGACATTGATTCGTCTGTGGTATTATATTCTGCACATGAGACTATAGAAGAATTTTTAATCAAACCATGGAGACGTGGCCAATCATATCTGTATTGTAACTTTCTGTTGCAGCCTTTTATAATTAATATTTTACTAACGTGGCATAATAATTAACCTTACAGCTAGTACTTGATAAGATACAAAATGAAATACTTACAGTGATGAATGATTTTAGGCTGGTTACCTGCAGTATGAATCTGAGCTCCCTGTTGTTTGTGTTTATACCTGTCTGATGATAATAATAATAATAATAAACTGAAATTAAATCCTCAATTATGCAGGTGTTATATGATTACCATACTGTATCCCTTGGATGTTATAGTAGTGTAATGAAGGGTAAAGATTATATAATTTTCTTTTTATTATTGCATAAACTACATCGTTAATCAGACCTTTTCACACATGCTAATACAATTGAAATACTACATGCATTATTCTCTTATTGTACACAGACAATAACTTCCTTTCTGATTATTATTATTAACAGAAATTTTATGCAAATTTTAGACTTGTTGACATATGCTACATGTTCTATTTCCAGTGTATCACCAGCTGCAAGGTGATGTATGATGATCTACAGTTATATACCATACAAATACATTTTAGCTGCTTGAATGAATAATAGGCAATGAGGAAATAAGACTTTCATTTCCTCTTTCCTATAAAGTCCATGATTCAATTAAATTGTACGCTTGAAGGCGGAGCAAGAACGGTATTAAGGGCCATGGAAACAATCAATCGTGGACCAGCGTGGGTATATAACGCATGGTTTCTAGGTTTATGGTTCATTGATGGGAAATCAAGGAACAAAATATTTAGCATACAAACAAATCAAAGTGAATAGAAATAGAGATCGATGGTTTGGGGGCGAATATATACCCATTGTGTTTTCGTTGAATCTCCTGAATTAATCATCACTAGACTGTGAATTGCGTGACATTCCATTGCATGGCGCCATTCATTCACACCTTTCTTGGTATTAATGTACTCTTTGACTTCCCATGGAGTTTTTTTTTTTTATCTCCATGTCTTCCACAAACTTTTAATCATACTCCACGGACCTCGTTATCAATACCACCAGGACCGCTTCAAACCACAGTCCCTCTGTTCAAACGTTTATTTCCCGGGAAATTATCGATACTCATTTCGTGAACTCGCATAAACAAAAAAAATAACCTTTTGAACCCCTGATAGAAGAGAACACAACTTGTCTACAAAGTTAGCATTGGATAAGCCCAATAGTGTCATTATCATCTTTTCTACCTCCATGGTTAAATTCACCCAGGTGTTCACAACAGAATATGGTCTACTGACTTTTGTGCGATACTATAGACTAGACACTTCCTATAACTTTGTACTAAAACTACTACGAAACTATTCATAACAGAATAACTCAGGCGTCACTACGTACCTGTTCGATGGACGACAAGGAGTATCTGCAACTCACTGTTTATTGACCTGACCTATTCAGCAATACAATACAAACACCACGTATTGATGTATGCCGTTGCATAGTATTGTCAACACAACATTGAAACAGGTCAGAGGTTAACCACTTTCACCCGACGAGGGCGTAATTCAAACACCTGTTAAGAAGCAAGCTTTTGTAATCATACACACATTTTAAAAATATTTTCTACAAAATTTCAATCAGAATCAGTAGCCATTGAAGAATTATGAATTATTATTTTATTCCAAATTATCATTATGGCACTCAAGGGGTTAATTAACACTAGGTAAAGTTGGGCGACCAAATCAGATCAGGGATGAAGCTCTCATATGAGTTTTGTGAATGTGGATATTACTCTTGTGTGCAATGTATGTCACATGAGCATGTGGCCTTGAAGGACAATAAAAACTATTATTATACATCTGTCACTGTAACGCCATAAGTTACAGCGTGCCGTAATTTGAGGGTATTTTACGGGGGTATTTCATCCTACCATTTATGGAAATGCGAATTCCAAATATGGAATGATTACGCGCATAAGCGTCCTCTAATAATAAAAACAAACATGGCTGCCATCAGGGTTTGACCGGACTCCACACAAAGAAGTTCACTGATTCTGTTCTAAGCTTTTTGGATTTCGGCATTCCTATGATGTATCCTTGGAAGGAAAAGATGTATAATAATAAGGTTATTACGAGAATACTTCAAAGTATGCACTCAGACAGTACGCCACGCATCGACCTCTGCTGTGCGTCAGCCGATACTCCAGCTGTACTGTCTTCATGCATACTTTGAGATATTCTCGTAATAACCTCATATTATTATTATAGTTGGACGACTGCAATATTCACATCTTTTTCAGAATAAATATCAGAAAATCAATTGCTGTTCATTATAAGATTTAAATATCTGGGTGTGGCTGATATAATGGGTCTTGATTGTTCAAGTAACTCTGCTGTGCATATTCTTGTAATAAAAATTTAGCCCAACTTTTGGCACTGTTTGTGTTCTAAAAACTTTTCTTCTTAATGGGTCAATCAAGGTTGTAATTTAAAGTGACAATGTGAATAACTTGAGTATTTTTCAGCATGTTTAGATAATTTGGATTTATATTACATCATGATCACACATTTTAGATATAATTTTTTTCTCAATGAAATACACTAATGTGACCCAAATTTACCTAAGCATACATTTGCAGTCAGTCAAGACATTATATATTTATATTACAATTAATCATATCCATAATTTTTTTTTAGGATAATACAATATCATACAAAATTAAAGTTCAAAGTTATTCACACTATTTCAATAAATGTGCTAATAGTAACAAAATCAATATACACAAAACTGAATTAAAAACATGAATCACTTTATTATAAATTAATTAAATAAGTCATATAAAAACTTGACAACAATTTTCAAAAACAATTCAACTATAAACATTCATAAATACTATATAAATTATTCAAATTACAACAATTCATATTAAAACCAACTGAATGACATTTCATATTTTGTTAATCTTCAGCAAGTTTACCACAGCATTGACTGTAAGGATTTACGGACATTAGCCATTTCTTGATTTTGCTGTAGACGAATGAAGAATTAAGTTTTAAAACAAACAACATATGGAACTTGTGTGGGTACTCTCTGTGCAACAAAGACATTTCAAAACACTTCCTTTCAATTGAAATTTTGAAATTTATTAATATCTTGTTGAATCAAAAGTATCAGTAGATTAAATTGATTGAATGATATTTATAAATGTATTAGTAAAATGTTTTTGTAAAACTTACTGTATCCATTAGGATTTTCTTCTGAAGCAAGCTCATTTCTTTTCGAAGTTCTACTTGTACATTGCTATGTTGATCTTGATGACGAGACTCCAAATCAGTCATCCCCTTGGAAAAAAAAAAGAACAGTAATGAGGATATTTTATCTGGCAATATTGAACAGTTTCAATGTCATGCAAAAATAGCTCAACTGACCAAAAAAAACAAAACAAAAAAAGTCAGTCTATAATTTTGTATCAAATAAAATACATAAAATGGTAACATCTTGTTACGTGAAAAGGGTTGGGTGGTGTTTTATGCCAACCATAGCAGATATTGAATAGTGCATGGAGATGTAGATATTACTGCAGAAACATCACCTTACCTTGCTATACTGCTCATGCAGCTGCCTCAAAGTTTTCAGTCTTTGGCCTTGTACAATTCGGGCTTGTTGAAACAACTTTTGTTGCTGACGAAATAATGTCTACCAATGAAAAAGCAATGGCACAATAATCAATGTTGTGTTTAATGGGGGTGGGCAAGGGGGGATAGCTAGTATAGGTTACAGGAAGTAAAAACGGCATTACACGTTTTTACAGGAAATAAAACGAAAGTTCCATTTACAGTAATTAAATAGGTTTTTACACTTTACAGTTAGAGCCAATTCCTAATTATATTTTATGTTTTTATAATATTTTTGACAATTTTAGTTCAAGAATCAAAATTGGAAATTACTGTAAAATACTTTATTCTGCTATTTTATCTGAAGTAATGATTTAGTGAAAATAAAATCCAGCAAATATAACTTTTTCCCATATTTTGCATTCAACTAATCAAAAATCAGTGCAAATAAAATTCCATTCAACAAAAAAATTTTTTTTTTCAGCAAAAATTAATTTCAACTAAAATTTAGTATTTTACAGTACAACATTTAATTTGGAAAATGCTTTATATGTTTACAAAAAATAATATCTTTGTACAAATTACGGATGAATAAAATAGCTGATTACATTTTACACTTTGCCCATGTTTATTTAAATTACATTATTACGAAAATAAAAACAATTGATTACAGCTTACGAAAATACCCCTTGCCGACCCTCTTTAATACACTGGTAGGTAATCCATTTGAATATCAGTTTGATTAAAGTTGTGAATATAATTCCTTGAAGTTAGGGAGTCTTACCTGTAGTTTATCCTCATGGTCTTTCATTTTATTGATGTCTGTACCCCACTGCTCAAACACATTCATCACCTGCTTGCAGTATTCATCACTCAGTCTCTGCCTGAAAACATGCATTATAAAAGATAATACAGTTACCCCTGCCGGTACTATAAAAAGCAATTTTTATGGTCTATGTAAATGGGTCTACTAGGATTTGACTTTAACTTTCAAACTAACTTGTCTGAAAACTACGTTGTCTATATTTACTAATACATAGTCTGTTAGGCTAGTAGGATATTGTTGAGTCGACTGAATGGCAATTTCCCTTAGTGTCAAGCTCTCATGTATAACATAATAGTGATATGAAATGGTCTTGAAGTTCAGAAAAGGGTCTTTTTACACAAGTTTTTTTCTAACATCGCCAAGCAAATTCTGACCAAAACAATGAATATTGTACAGATATATTTACCTTTCAGCATTTTGACCTTTGAAAATGTCATCTACCTTCCGATTGCTGCACTTCAATGACTGCTGTGTGAGTAGTTCTAAGCGTTTTCGTTTGGCAACTATTGATTTACTTATATCAGCTGAAAATGTAAACATTAGTTTTTTTTATCCAAGTGAAACATAATAAATAAAAGAAAAAAATACATTCATAAAAACCTACTACAAAAACAAAGCTGACATGACAATTTTTATTGGATTATGAACTAATTTGCAAACTTAGTAATCTCTGAGATCATTACAAACACAGTCAAGTATTAGAGAATGTAATATCTTCAATACTAAGTAAATTACAACTTTTAATATTAACAAGCGTTCTGACAATCAAAATAGCTTTGCTGTCCTACAAGAACATTGTGGCAGCCAAGTCGAGAACAAATTGTTCACAAAGAATTAATACACCTCAAATATCAAAGCAATCGGATTAGTAAAGTTTCAAGAAGGATTCAAAAATATAATATTTGCTAAAATAGACAATTGATGATATCAGCATGAAATGAACAAATCAGGTTTGTAGTTCACAAAAAGAAGTTTAAAATGGCATTTTTTTTACCAGAAATCAAAAATGCAATAGACGACAAGTGACAATCACCTTATTTGAACAGCTGTCATCTCGATGACAGAGAAGCTAAAATTAGAATAATAAAATATACTTACAACCAAATCTGTCTAATAAGGTATGGACTTCACCACTGAAACAGTGAGAAAAAAGGAAACTTAAAAAAGTGTTTAACATTGTATTTTTGATTACAGGATCTCAAAAGAGTTAATCAAGGGTAGCTTACCCAACATCATCAGTTAGCTCATTGTACACTCTTTTCTTTCCCGATCTTGACGGAACAGTTGGTGTTTCATCTTCTGAATATGTAAAACAGGTGTTTTTGAGTTATATCAGTGCTGTTGCTAAATTATTGTGTCTTTATAGAGGTAATCAGCATTTCAAGGGGTTAAAAAGGGAGCTTTTGGCGAAATGTTAGAGGGTTTTGAGGAACAAGACCAAAATAATAAGACTGTGGCAAAACACAAACATGTAATGATGGAAATATATTTGCAGAAAAACACTGAATTAAAACAACCCTTCCAAATTTTCAAATACTTGTAGATAAGCCCTATTAATATAACTTGATACCAGCATTACAAATTTAACTTTTGTCGCCAATAATATACAGAGCAAACTATAAATTATATAATATATATTTTATAAGACATACCCCTAGTTGTTTCATGTTGGTTATCTTCTTCGTCATCAAAATCAAATGCGTCTTCCACAGATTCCTCAGAAACGGGTTGTGGTTTTTGCTGTTTCTGCGGTTGTTTCTTGGGCATTGTGCAAATGAATTCAGTCTGAAATGCAATATGATAGAAAATGAATAGCCTGGAATCCATCAATTCCAAGTACATACAAGAATTCATAGTTTTTTTTTCACGATTATAAATGCTTACTAGAAATGAAGAAACTGACCTAGATTTTCAACTGACTTGTCGGCGCTGTCCAAACGTCAATGTATCCAAAACAGTGATATACGTAATGAGTAAATTATATACTTAAATATAATTGAACACAAAACTTTGATGAGAAATAACTGCAGGAATAGAGAAACGTAATGTCTGCTAAAATCTGAAAGTAGTTCTTTCATTCGGCGGTTTGCGACGCGCATTAATTTTCATAAAGCGAATGCATTTTTTATGTTTGTTTTAAAATAGCACATTGTAAGTGAGATGGTCAGATATGCCATATTTTAATCGCAATTTTTACTTTTAACAATGAACAATAAAAACAAATTAGCGCATATGCTAAGTAGTGTACTCTTTTTCATCTGCGAACGTTGATATGCTAATGAGACGTTATGAAGTTCAACAAACGTTCCATGTCGTCTGCTGGGTCGCAGCTGTTTGGTCATTATTGATGGCGGCAAAAACAAAACCCCAATGTGACGTTGAATCTGCGCGAGAAACCGCGAGCATTACAAAGCTGCCGGACCGGGCCATATAATAGAGATATAGCTGAAATTCAATGGCATTATTGGCAATACTGTCGAAATTATCAAATCCTGAAATTACGTCCTCGTATTTCGGCTAAAACGTTGAGGTCGCCCATTTGAAAACTTAGGGAATGGGTGGCTTGTAGGTTCTCGTTAAAAAAATATATCAAAATAAAAATGTACACGACAAAATCCTGAAACTGCGCCCTCGTATTTTGGCTAAAACGTTTGGGGTTAGCCATTTGAAAATTTAGGGGGGGGGAGTGGCATGTAGGTTCTCGTTAAACGAAAAAAACATCGAAATGAAAATGATCACTACAAAATATAAATAGAAATATTGCTATCCTCGGAGGCGGACATCCGGGCATTTTCACCGCCTGGCAACCGGCGGCGGTGAAAACAAAGACCCAAAACTCTCAGAAGAAGACGCCGAACTGCAGCGTCAATGGCGCACA